GGACCCCTACTTGTCTTGATATATATCAATGATCTACCAGAAATATTAAATTGTACTACTTAACTATTCGCTGACGATGCCAAACTATCGACCAAAAATTATACACTGGAAGATAGAGAGAATCTACAGAACAGTATCAACAACATGTGCCAATGGACGGATAGGTGGTTAATGAAGCTAAATGTAGAGAAGTGTAAACACATCGAAATAGGATTCAAGGAAAAACTGTCAGAATACACTCTACAACAGGACAATACAACGCATCATATCTGCAAAATTAGAAGTGAAAAACGACCATTTGAACCTTTCAGTCCATGTCCAGAAAACAGCTAACAAGGCAAATCAAATAGTCGGAATAATCTTCAGAAGCTTTACATATATGAGTAATGACATCTTTACCAGATTATTCAAATCTCTTGTAAGGCCACACATGGAATACGCCTCTGTAATCTGGTCACCATTGTACATCTAAGACAAAAGGGCTATAGAAACTATTCAAAGACGTGCTACTGAGCGTGTACCATCACTAAAGGACAGATCATACCCAGATAGACTTCATATTCTTGGATTATCAACACTAGAATACAGAAGAGAAAGGGCAGATATGATTCAGGTTTTCAAAATCTTGAATGACATAGACAGCCTTGATAAGGAAAAGCTGTTCAAAATGTGCGACTACAGAGCAACAAGGGGACATCCCAAAAAACTGTTCAAAAAACGCTGTAAAAAGAATCAAACTACCAATTATTTCAGCAACAGAGTTATTCAACCATGGAATTCTCTACCAGACCATGTGACCTCGGCTCCTAGTGTTAACTGGACAGGTTAAACAAGCATTGAAAAACTCATACACGGAAATTTAGCCCTCTTTTTTTATTGATATCGGCTCGCGAGCAGTCAATGACATTACTAGTTTATGACTCGCTTCCGATGTGTGTGTACTTTTTAACAACTGTATTGTAGATATAGAAAATTGTGACCCTAACCTAAGCGTTACTAAATGAGTCTAGGAACCGCTAAACTACCAAGGGGAACATATGATCAGAGATAATTGTAAGTAAAATAATGTACATAATATTGTTAATAGCTAACTATAAGTATTGAAAATTAACCTGATAGCGCAACCGGAAGGAAGTCGCGTCCAGCGGAAGTTTATCGACAAGTGATCATACATCACTAAAAGCCATTGGCTTAACTCGATGTCAACCAGTGATTCAGTGATTCAGTAAACGACTTCTCTTTCTAAATTATAATGAACACATTCTTGCAGATTAAATGAAGTTATGCTGATTGTTGCCTATTCGGAAACTTATTACAATTAAGAACTGATTCTAAGCTTTTAGCTAAAATCATTTCAAAAACTTTAAAAATGACTGGTAACAGAGTAATCCTCCTATAACTATTAGGGTCATCTTGAGGTTTTGCGTTTCCTTTGTGCAAAGTAATTATTGTTCCCATTTCCCACTCTTTTGTTTATATGAGAGTTTGTAAAAAACAAACGTGTTTTTGCATGAACTGCCCATCTTGCTTAAATTCGGTGTTTTTGTTTACATTAGCGGGCTAGCTCATCGCCACGCCCCCCAACCCATAAAAGGCGATTGCCACATCCGGGTTCTTAGATCAGAGGTCAACGCTTATTGGTCAGTTTTACTTGGCAGCTAAACATTGAGAAGATTTTTTTTCAGAAGATCGCCTCTTTAAATATACAGTCACAACAATGTAGTGTGAATTTTCAACATCTTGTGCTTGTTGGTGTGTCGTTTATGCATCAGTTTGCTTACGAACTGGTTGGTAATTTTGATCGAACATTTTGTTATCTCCGCGAAGAGATTTCGATCGGTGAAGCTTCCCTTGCATCAAAACTGTGAGCAAGCAACAGGATCAACAACAAACATGTGTTTGGGTGGCGGATGACAATATAAAGTATATTGTCATTTTGGTGGATTGTTTTTTCTTCCGCTCACCTTTGCTTATATTTTACAGACATTTTAATTTGTTTGAAGAAATAATTGGATTTTTTTCGAAATCATGTGTTACTCAGATCAAGAATTAGTAAAAGAAGTTTTTATCCAAATTTTTCAGAATATGAATAAAAAATTGCGGCCACTTCCTAAAAGGTGAGCCAATTCTTCGCCAATCACAAATGTTTTGATGTTATTTTGTTGGAGAATTGATGAGACATTAAGCAAACAGAGCTTCAGAGCATGGAGATAGTTATAATCACTTTACAGATACATGTATAATTATATAGAAGGTATTGGGAGGAGGTCAAGAGACAGCACATGAACTTTTAAGATCATCAGCACAGTATTTAGGTTTTGCAGTAAAAGCAAAAATTGACACTTAATTACGGCATACAATAATATTGATAGGTGAACATACAGCAACGAGTTTCCAAATTTTTAATGAGATTGTTTTCAACTTTTCACATATATTTTCGATTTCAGATACAAAAACAGGTTCCTTCAAAAACTTGTCATCTTCGCAGGTTATCTTATTTTACTCGAAATGTCATGCTTGAAATTTCATCAAATAAACCATTGCAAGTAAGATGCCCATTTGTTTACAATAATTTTTGGGTTTCTAAACGTTTGATTGATCAATCTTTGATAACTGGTCAGACATATAATTATCAAATGCTTGTCTAAGATTTCTACCGAATTCTTTCTTCATCAATTTGTACTCTTTAACACTTTCCTAGTTCCCACCTGTTGGTTTAATTTCACTGACCCTTTTGTGCCTGCTTAATCTCATATTACAAAGAAAAACAGATAACTGCTCATTCCAATATGGTTTTAAGTAATGTTTGTACCTTACAGTCGGGTTAGATTCTAAAGAAGCATTGACTATTGCAGAGACAATTTCACAATAATATTTTTCTTTGCATTCCTTGCTTAGACTCAATTCCTGTTCACTATACTCAGTTTCTGTAACATTGGTATGAGACAAATTCTTATATAAAGGTGCTCTGTAAGCATAAGGGTCTCTTTTCTTCCAAATACACCGTGTATGTGTATCAGTACTTTTATAATTAAATGTTACATTGGCTGACATCAGTATGAAACTTATCACCGGGACATGTCCTGACAAATTCCAATAACTTTCTTCCAAAATAGACACACTTTCTACTAAAGCATACAGTACATGCTTGATTCAACAATTATGTGGTCAATAAGTGTTGATTTGCCTGTCTAAGGGGGAAAAGGGGTTTTCCAGTATCATAGAATTTGCTAAAGCATGCATTTTGTTAGTGATTTAGGTACAATGTACAGCATATATCAGATTAACTTAATGTTTAATTAATTCTAAATGAGGAATTTAAACCAATAATTCGATTTATACTACATAATTCAATTTCCTCAATGTCTGCATTTATCATTTTACATAACTACACATTGGACTGACACGTCTCTAGTTTCTCCTGCATCGATGATATATTGTTTGGGATGATTTCAGGGCTGATTAGTCACCAGTGCACTAGTATAATGAATATCAATCAAATATAGTGATTGTCATTGTATTGATCAATATGAAATATGTAGACGTTGCCGAAAGCTGTGATTTGCTTTTGGTTTGGTTTAGTATTGTTTAACGTCCTATCAACAGCTATGGTCATTTAAGGAAGGCCTCTCCTGTGTGCAACATGCATGCGTGTAGTGTATGCGTGTGTGTTTTGGGAGGCTGCGATATGTTCGTGTTTGTCTCCTTGTGATAGCGCGTAACTGATGTCGACTTTATAGTGCTACCTCACTGAAACATACTGCCGAAGCAGGACACCCCACCCGGTCACATTATACCGAAAACAGGCGAATCAGTCGTCCCACTCCTAAATTGCTGAGCGTTAAGCAGGAGTAGAAACTACCATCTTAAGCAGCAAGCAAATATAACAGGAACATTCTTATTTGAATTTGAGTGTAGTTGAATGAATAAGTTTAAGAATAAAAAATAGTCTCCACTTAATATTGTTTGGGTAATGTTATCAAATGATTTAGGTGTGTACGTTTGTACCTATACATATCTCATAAGGAAAATCTACATTTTAACATTTTCCTATATGAAACCTTCCATTTTACATTTCCCGTTATGAAAGCCTTTATTTTCAATTGTTAACAAAGACACAAAGAACCTCTCCTTTGGCTAACAGTCCGTTTGACTTTTAAGAGCGAAGCTCTCGGAAATAGGCATGCCCCCAGATAGCAAGACATTGTCGGGCCAACGGCGCGATGCGACGATCGCATATCGACGTTGGCCCAACGGATAAGTTAAGCTGCATAGCCAACGATCGCATCATGCCTTTGGCCCAACGGCGGAATTAAGCTGCATTGCCAATGATCGCATCTCGCCGTTGGCCCAACGGCGAAGTTAAGCTGCATTGCCAATGATCGCATCATACAACCATAGTCTAACGGAGATCCGGTATAGCCTCGTTATGAATGTAGCTTAGCGGGGAAAATTGGAAGCGGGTACGTGTTGCAGTGTCTTGACAAAAGCAAATTACTGATGTATCTGCAATTATCTACGAGTATGATGAAAACGTGTAAATGATAAAGTTGAATATAATATAAGATCTACATTCTATTTTCATTGACAACTCGTTTTTAAATCACTTCAATTCGAATTCTGGTTGTTTAGCCCCATGTCCTGTTCGCACCCTCTGCCCATGTGACATAATGGCATGTAGAGTGATGAAAATCGTGATTGGATAATTCCAGATCCCGATTTGCATATTTACAGGGAAAGGAACTCTTGTTCGGTTAAAATACAAAACGAAATCGCCAAAATCCGTATTTAAAACAGAGAGAAATGTAAAATATACCGGGTGGTGTGTTCGAGCGTTGTTACAGGAGTACAATTTTAGTAATATCAGACGGTGGCCCAACGTTGGGCCAACACTATTTTCAGACAATGGTCCAACGTTGGGCCAACATAATTTTCTGCCACCAGTCGTCCAACATTGCGGCAACGGACAAAAAGCTGTTGGGCCAATGTTGTATGCCTACGTTGGGCCAACGTTTGCCCATCGGCGGTGTGCTATCTGGGGGCAGTAGGCACCTGAGCGGAGCTCTCGGACATAGGCATGCCGCAGGCACCCAAGCGGAGCTCTCGGACATTGCCTGCCGTAGGCACCCGAGCGGAGCTCTTTAACNAAAAAGACAAAAAAAAAAGTTACTTCAGCGTGATGCCCCTTTAACATGTGCGTGTTAATAGATCTGATCCAACCAAACTGATTCCATCACTGAATCGTACAGCTACAGCCTAAAAACTTTTCGTACTTCCGGTCCATGGAGCCAGTAAATATGCCTAATCCAATAATAGAGCAAAATGTAACGTAGCAGGAAAATTATGTATTCGAAAAAACGAATTAAATTTGTATCGAAAAGAGAAATGATTGGCTTGGTCATCAAAAAGCTAACATGAATGTCACAAGCAAATGGCGTCGAAGAGTGCGTAAGAATGTAATTAGGCGACACACTGTATTACCGTCGATTAAATTAGCTTATATTTTGTAAAGATATAGATTATTTGATACTGACAACTTTCTAAACATCTAAATATTGATAATCGATCGTAACACAAAAGGGTCATTTCCACTAGGACGGAAATACCCGAGCATGTACGAAGCAGGGTCAATGACGAGGTCGCTTGGTCTCATTGGATATGAACAGGTCAGGTCATTGACGAGGTCAAAGTTTACGGGTCGTCTGCTCCAGTAACACAGAATTGTCACCGACAGCTTTCCAACGGAAAACTTGGGGTGTTTCAAAGAGTCAAATTGCGGATTTTTCAGTATCACTACTCTTGTTTTTTCTGCATTTATTGTAGAACGTCAACTTTATGTAGTTTTTCTAAATTCTTCCATTTGGCGGTCGTTTCTGTTGACATTTGATCCAAATTTGTGATATTACCTTTAGATTTTCCTACTAAAACTGGAATTTCAATGCCTATATCTGCTTGTACAATAGATTAAATCTAGTTTTATCTAATGCAACAAAATGAACAATTACTTGAAAAAGACAAACACTATCTGTACAATTTTGTACAGTAAAATATCTTATTTGATACTTAGATAAATATAAACTTTAAACGCTTGACAATTTGTAAATTCCGTTCAACTGTGTAAATCATTACAGGATTTTGATAAGACATTGAAGTGAACACACTAGTTTGCTCTGCTTTATAAATATCAGCAAAGAAGAGAATTAGAAACATTATATTTTCACCACTTTTATTTTTGTTAACAGATTGCATAATATGCGACCGTCAGCAACCATTTCTAATCAAATTCAAAATTATTCCGCATATGATGTACCTGGTCATGATAGCAATTGTTTTTATTAAACCACATTTAACAACAATATTGTTCAAGAACACCAAGTCCATCCTGAAACCGATATCAATTCCATCATTTTAACACAATCATCACTGAACAAATCACAACACACAATCTTTGACCCTCAAATTTGACAATGACATTAGAAGGGTGTCAATCAAACCTTTGAGGAAAACATGGTCAAAATCGCAAACAAAATCACAAAGTATGATGACACAAAGTAATACGATGGTGTCCATCCAGAAACTTCACTTGCAAACAAATGTTTTCAGCTGATATATGTCAATCTATCTCTAGGTATCTACAAAACTTTATGACAACAGCGACGATGAAAAGGAGGAATCTGCCGCTGTAGATACCTGGAATTTCTAAGGTATATAATCAGTACAAACATTGAATTTCATCATTTCACATGGATTTTCTAAATTATTTAAAAGGAAATCTAAAATATTTATTTTATACGTATAGCGATGGGAGACGTGACAGTCTCTAACCTGCTATGTCTAACATGCTAAACACATTTAAATTAAAAACAGATACATTCTTCATGGATTGGCAAATCAGCTCAAACCATTTGTTTAAACATTATGCCTAACGTTTCAACTCTCATTATCATGTTTACTCTATGATTTTTTCAAATGGCATTTGTTTCTTTTGGATCAAAATATTAATATATATTCAATATTATGTACAAATGTACAGTACGTGCTTCGCTCTCTCCAGGCCATGCCTGGGTCATATTATTATGACCTGTTGTTCCCCCAAACCCTCACTTCTCTTTGGGATGGAGTAAAGGTAACATCGAATCTAACGACTGTCTTCTCTAATATTTTACAGGTGAGTCATTGTATGTACTTGTATAACGGGCACTCTCGGTCGAGTAGTGCGAGCCGTTATAGCAACACATGTACGGAAAGTACGGGAAATGAGAGTGAATTGGTTCTATGCTATATGAAGGCTTCAAAAACGTTCGTCCTTCCGGTCGTACAGGCTCGCAAAAAACGGCAGCATGCGTTGCACCGTGACTGCATTGATGTTCTTTTTTTTGCAAAACAATTTATTCTCAATAAACACCTTGTATTTTTGTCGTATCTCCGGCAGGTTTGGTGATTTGATGGAGATGGAGAAGACCGTGAAAAGGGAGTTGAAGAGAGCCCACAGTGAATACACCACCAAATTCCTGAACACCAGCGCCTCAGAAAACCTCAAGAAGTTCTACTCGTACATCCGGAGTAAGAGAAGCAACAGTAGTAGGATACCATCACTGAAGGAGAACGGGGAACTTCTATCAGATCAGCTGAGGTTGACTGATCCACACGGGGGACATGACCATGTAAACTGGGTGATGGATTGAAGTCGACCATATTCTGAAGGGGTGATGTCGCCACAACTGATGTGCACCCACTGGTCACAACTGTCACATCTTACTGATCTGTGGTTGACCGCTACTGTTCTCTGACAAGTCCGTATATACCATCACACGTATTCCGTCTTTGTGTTTTGCAGAGTTATCTTCTCTTGTGAGCAGGTATTGATTGTTACGTCATTGGTTTGTGTGAGAAAATTACGTCGTTTTCTCAAAAATTGATGACGTTACTCTCACAAACAAGTGACGTAACAATCAATACCTGCTCCCAAGAGAAGATAACTCTGCAATACGCAAAGACGGAATATTGCTGTTTGTGAAAGGATGAATTGACGCTGACATGTTGTGACGCGACTTTGACGTCACTGTTGACAAGCGTCATCGTAGTGTTGACAATACTTACTGAAGTCAACCCGAATTTTCTGCAGCTATTCCACATTATTAAGATTTTTTTAATTATTCTTATCCCTACAGTACAGTGCACTTTTCCACGCATTTATGCTACTTTTAAAAAGTTTTTCTGAAGTAATTGTATCACAATTATCAAATAAAAAGATATTTTTTTCTGAATATTCAAACACAACGATATTTTTTCTGCATTTTCATCTCAGTATACTCTCTTATTTTTCCGTTACTTGATTTAACACAATATGATTTTATTATATAAAGGCGCATTTTGCTGCGTCATTTGCTACTTCAGCTAACCAAATTATTTTGGAGAAAAATATGCAGTAAATTATCTTACAATACATAAATAATTGTTTATATAAGTAATAATTGTGTATATATGTTTTTTTTTACCATGTATGTGATTACTATTGGCATCAGAATAATACTGAATGAAAAACAGTGGAAATGCAGCATGTTATAAACAGTAAATTATACTTATGGATAGTATAAATACATGTAGTTTCAAGAAGATCACCACATTTAAAGCCACAGGTCAATTTGTTTCGTTAACATGTATTCATTATTGGCTATTGATACCAGTACATTACGGTAGTTCTAGTTAGGGGAGACTGGGGCAAATTCGACCCATTTTGATTTTAAGTCGTTCTGGGCTGTATGGCATTTGTTGAAATGTATGTGCATATACACCATGTCCAAATTTGAAGAATTTTCCAACTTTTTCTGTCTCAAGATTGGATGACTTCCATTGGAGAAAATCCGGCCCACAGCATAATTATGACGTCATAAAGTATGTGAATATTTCATGGGCCGAACTAACTCTGGGGCCAAACATGACTCAGTCTACCCTACAATCAGCGACATATACGCTATAAATTAATACCTTTAATATGATGACAGAAAATAGAATAGAGCCTCTATACCAATTCCTGAGCGCGAAAATGGGTGGTTGATATAAGTTGTATTGTTTAAGTTTCGGCAACACCCTAAATACATCCATGTATCCACCCCTGGCTTTAATTTCATGCAGAGTGAAACGCTGGAATACACACTCTGAAAAGAGTAGAGTACATGAAACCTAGCTCAATTTAGCTTGCAATGCCGTCGTGTATCACAGTGTTTAATTTTTGCACACTAGACAATATATGTTTAACTGCTGTCAGGAGCGTAAACCAACCCATTATAATCAGCAATCACATTATATAAGGTACTGTTCTCGTAGATCTTAAATAACCATATACATACATGTACGAAATAATTATCTACCATGCTCCATGACGTTACATATATACATATATAACGTGTACCTCTGGATTATAATGCGCTTCGTTCTGGGTCACCAAACACTCTGGAGTGTATACTATTGAATGTTCAATCTCTCACAACCTTCCCCTGTCCAGCATTCCAGTCTGCTAGTAGATGAATGTCCGGACCGTCTCCGACCAGTTTTTTCTTTTCTTTCGTGTATTCTGCTTGGAGGACACCGAAGTAACCAAAATTGATCTGCTGCCCCTGACCTGGGATCTGTCTGTTTCGGCATTGTTTCCCTAGCAACCCGCCTTTATATGACTAGAGCTGTTGGAAGGACAAGATGCTCCATCTATATAAACATGTATTGTGATGTGTTGGTTATGCTCGTATATTTTGTTTTCGTTGTCACTAAGCCGGTATGCAGTATGTGCACGTGATATAACCTCGATTTGACCTAAATGTACATGATATTAAGCAGAAGACGCATTTCCTTCCGGAACACCTGGTCTTTGTACTTTTTCTTGTGTCCCCATTTAAACCCATGCTTTGTTAGTAATTTAGTTACCGATTTGTATTTGACACTTTGGTTGTCCTTTTTTACATCCCTATTAGCCGGTACCATGTATTGCGGAATGACCGACCAAACTATCTATGCAAATGAGATGTTTTCAACAGTATGGGACTCAATGTTTGTATAGTAACAGTTCACGCTATCCTGGTTTCAATACAAACGGCTCATTATTTCCTCCTTTGTTCACAAAAGGCTGACGTTATGCTGTGCTACAAAGTTTAGGAAAAGAAGATTCTTCATTTATACACAAGGTCTCATGGACCATTTAACCAGGGGCATGTTCGTTTATGGGAAACAACCAGTACGTGGGTTTTTAAATGTAACAATTTCGGGTATAAATTCTGGCGGACGTGAAAATGTTAATGCAGGCCTTGCAAGGCTTTGTCAATGCTTGCCTGAAAGCACCATCAGATTACGAGGTCCATCCTTATTTCATAAACGAACAACTCTGGTCCAGCCAGTTTAACCGCAATAAAAGGAAACAGCGTTATGTTAACGTTCAGTTTCTTGTGATGAATCAAAATACTAGAGTCACGATAAGGAGTAAGCTACTGACGCCAGTACTGGAGTTTTTGAAAAGAAATTACCTTGACAAGCATCAATTCTGTAAAAAACGTTCAAATGACATCGGGAGGACCAAAATTTGATTTGAACTTGTGACCTATGACATCCAAGTCTCCTATAATAAAATATAACAAATCACTCAATCGAGATCTATTCAGTGACATTTAATGCTTAAATAACATTAGTCATATAATAGAGAGTACTTAAGTCAAAATGTACAATCATTGATATCACACAATAATACACAGAAATCTTACATATCTATCTACAATATTAACATGACAATTTGTTTGTCAGAAAGGCACATCTCTTGGGACTTGTTTGAAGAGGAATAAAGATATATCAATTTGTGTTTCTAAACTGAACATTGTATGTTCTAAATGGGACAGAAATGTCATGGAGACTCGGAATGAATACTGTCATTGATCAACATTTTACCTTTGAGGCTCTATGGAACCAAAAAACATCTATCATGATGATGTCTTATACTGTTAACTTTGTTTAAAACACATATAAGCTGTACCTCCATTTGCTATCGACTTGTCAGCAACCGCTTCTATACAAATTATCTCCCTTTGTAATCGACTGATATACAGCGCCTCTATAATTTAAAGTTGTGGCAGAGTTTAATTGTATATAGGATAATGGTCGCCTTCCATGCTTCGAGATAGAGAGAATTTCCCTTGGACTCCGTGGTAGAGTGTCCGACTAGAAACCTGGAGATTGAGGGTTCGATCACCACACTATTCTTAGTTATTTCCCTTTGTCTGTGAAACTCGCAGGGAAATTATCTCCCCTTGAAAAAGGTAAATCAGTGACAGTTAATATAAAAAGGTGTCTACGTTTTTAGGGCAAGAAAAGGACCTATAAGAACTGGTGCTTGTATGGAGATAAAATAATAGGTACAAAGAGTATCACATACATACAGTGTATGCTTAATCATTGTTTATTTAGGAATATTAAACTGAACATTTTAGCTAGTCAGCTCAGCAGACTGGTAATCATAGATTTTACTTGTATGCAGACTCAATCTACTTTTTAATAGGCCGTCAGATCTGGGATTAATCTAGCCCTGGTCTGTGACAGCTCAAGCATCAAGTTATCTCCCCTGATAAGCCTAAAATATTTCAAAATGCATAAAGAATTTTACAGAGATATTCCTATGACAACTAAGTGTATATCATTGGCATAGAATTAAACATCTTTAAAGGAAATCTCTCAAATAAAACATTGAATAGAGCACTTCATTACTAGTGCTCATTGTTTGGGAACCAAAAACATCCATATTTAAAAAAAATACCCACATCTATGAAAGTGACACTCAATGTTCTCAAGAGACAAAATAGAATAAAGACATTAGTTAAAAACAAAAGGAAAAAAAAAAAGTTCTTTAGTACAAAACTCCTCAGCATATTTTGAGAATCAAGAACCTACTATTTATTAATCATATTTCCTTGGTGTCCTGTAGCACTCTACCGTTTCTGATCACCACTAATTTTTTTAACTCTTACAGAGTCCTATTGCCAGCTCCCTTCCCAGACCTGTACTACAAGTCCTAACTACTCTGTATATGTAGGTATGGTTAAAGTTCATAGATCCTCACTCCTCAGAGTTTTGTAGGTGCCAGGCTTGCTCGGACTGGACTGTTCTTCAACTTCAGCATTGGAATGTGATGGCCCTTGGTCGGTTGTCTGGTTGGTGGCTCGCATAGCCACATACCCAAGCATTTCAAGATTATAGGACATTTCAAGGTCATTCTCTTGACCTTTCTTATTGTAAGTTGCTTTAACTGTCTGCAATTTGTCAAGGGATCTTTCCTCAGACGGAATGTTTACGACAAATCCAGTTTCAGAGAGAGGAGGTGTAGTGTTGATAGAGGAGTTAGTACCGGGAGTTACTTCGGCGGATAAAATCCTGATATCTGTTACCGTACCAAAAGACTCTGCTGTTAAATCTCCCCCTCCAGATTTAGAAGCATCTAATTCGATCGGCATAGCAATGTAAGTGATGGAGCTTTCTCCGTCCACCTGTGATGACCCGTCATCATCATTGGTTACCATAGTGATTTCTAAAGTTTGTATATTGTTTTCAGTATCTTCTGTTTCTGTTTCCATGGCATTAGATTCAGATTGCTCCTGCTCGGCTGATCCGGCTGCATGTGAAGACTGAGAGTCAGCGGAGGTTGAAGGTTGTTTTGGATCCGTGGATGGGTTTGAATCGTCTGTTACCTGTTCTGTGAGTTGTATACTCTCATAACGAACGGTCTGTAGCCTCCAAAACCCGTCCTCATGCAACTTGTATCTGTAAAAACACAAAATAACTTTAGTTGGACCAATCCTCACGCTATCTTGTTGACCTCTGACCTCAACAAAACACATTAGTAAAATTAAAAGAGCCACATGACTGGTCTTCATAGCATACATTTTTCATGGGTTAAAAATCCTTGTTTTTTTGCTCCATACTTTTGTTTTGACACTTATTTAACAAGATATGAAATGAAATGTTGGTGTTTTCCCCCGTATTAAATTTCATTTTTTGCACATAGGTTGTCTGAAGGACCATCTAAAGATATATATATTTGTCAAAATTAACTGATATAAAGTGTATTGTGCTGATTGACAAGTTCAGTTAACATTTGTTGGTGCATTACCTGAACCGAGAATGACCAGAAGGCCATCGGAATTTGTGTCGTTTTTTCAGGTGGACAGTTAACTTTGAGCCTCGGCTGAACACTGACTTACACACGTGGCAGGCGTACTTCTGGACATCCACCTCCTGTCAACACACATACAATGACATGTTCTACTCTACACAGTTCCCTAAGGCCAGGATCTAGGATTCTTGTGTCCATAGTTAAATAATGTTTAATTTGTATCTTCCATGTCAAAACGTGAATATGTACAGTAAATATTATTTAGTATTTCAGCAAATTTGAGACTGATTTTCAAGAGAAATCTTTATTTCATGGAAATTATAATTATGGATTTATGTATAAGATTGCTTCATGACTTTTGGACCCTAACATTCACAATTTGTTGAAAATAACAAACAAGTGTTGAGTTCCAGTACATCTTACGCCTATAATTCTGACCCCACATTCACATTCCTCCTCCAATCTGAGGGATGCATTTTCTATACTTTACAGATTTGACATTCCGGGGAGTTTACCTGGTGAGTACGTTTGAAGTGGTTCGACAGACTGCTGTAAGTCCGTGCCCCGTAGTCACAGTCTGGTACGTGACAGCGGAATGGCACCTCCACACTATGGCTATCCATGTGTTTCCGTAGGTCTGCAGCAGTCTTACAACTGGAAACACAGAGAATGATGGGAAATATCACAGAGCATGCTGGGTAAGACAGAATCATAAATCAGATCATACAGCATGCTGGGTTAAACAGAGAGCACTCTGGGTAAGTTTAACTAACAATTTACAGTTTACAGCATTGGCATGACTTACCACTGTTTGCCTGAACTTACCAGTATTCAGTGTTGACACTTGTATGGTTTATCCGGACTAAAAACTAGTGTTGAACTTTGACCTCGCTTACCACTATTTACAGTGTTAGCCTTTGACCCAACTTACAAGTTATTGCAGTGTTGACCTTTTGACCTGACTTGCTAGTTTTTGCAGTATTTACCTTTGACCTGACGTACAAGTTTTACAGGGTTGACCTTTGACTTGACTTACTACTTTTGGCAATGTTGACTTTTGACCCGGTTACATAGTGTCGACTTCTACAGAACTTACCTGTGTTCACAGTGCTGACACTTGAACGGTTTGTCGTTAGTGTGACGGTATCGCAGGTGAGACTTGAGACTTGATGGTGTGGGACATGTCATCTCACAGCATGGACACTTGTACTGGTTCACTGAAAATACACAGCCAACATGGTCACAACAAAGGGACACAACTCTTGTGTATATATTGGTGCAAAAAAACAACTTTCCGCATGCGACAATTCACCATCCCAAACTTTACTGACATGTAACCTTTTGCAGTTTTTAGTATAAAGATATGTCAAAGAAAAGATGACACAGTACAAAAAATCAATATAACTCAGAGAGAATACTAAGGGTGTAAATAAAGGTTTCTTGTACTAAGGTGTAGATTAAAAGACTCTTTCAGACCCAGGAGCATGGTGTAGGGAAATTCTACTCAAGGGTTTCTAAACTTGGAAGACCACAAGGAACGCTTTGGTTTTGCCCTTAAATGGAAATTTTGTAGGTAAGATTTCCCTATCCGACACCCCTGGGCATTACAGAGTATTTTTCTCTCATTCCCAGCACTAAAATAAACAATCAATAAATTGTTTCAGTTTAAAAAATTTCATCACATCTGCTTGGCTTCAGTAAACTTGGCAAGTACTCAGAGCAATCCATACTACCCCACGACCACTAGTCAAAGGGCAATAACTCTGTATATACATGTATCAAGGCATAAAAACAAATTACAGTGAGCAACACACACCATCCCAATTGATACTCGCAAACAACATTTAACTGGTGGGCGTAGCCCAGCAGGTTATGCTATCGTGCCAGAAGAAAGGGCTCGTGTAAAATAACTGAAAAATAAGGGGCCACTTTAATAAGACTCATCTTCGCAAATCTTGTCGCGTGAGATTTTAGACAGAACCCTGAGGGTTTAGTGATAAACCATTAAAGACTTTTAAATTAAGTTATTTCAAAATAAGCCCCCATAAGCATGCTTGTATATACAATATAAATGTATGTTCAGCTGTGTTAAAAACAGTGTCAACAGCACAGTGTATATTGTGTCCATAAGGAGTGTGATGTCACTCGTCAGTACAGTGTATATTGTGTCCATAAGGCGTGTGATGTCACTCGTCAGTACAGTGTATATTGTGTCCATAAGGAGTGTGATGTCACTCGTCAGCACAGTGTATATTGTGTCCATAAGGAGTGTGACATCACTCGTCAGCACAGTGTATATTGTGTCCATAAGGAGTGTGACATCACTCGTCAGTACAGTGTATATTGTGTCCATAAGGCATGTGATGTCACTCGTCAGCAGTGTATATTGTATCCATAAGGAGTGTGATGTCACTCGTCAGCACAGTGTATATTGTGTCCATAAGGAGTGTGACATCACTCGTCAGCAGTGCATTTTGTGTCCATAAGGAGTGTGATGTCACTCGTCAGTACGGTGTATATTGTGTCTATAAGGCGTGTGATGTCACGTGTGAGCAGTGTATATTGTGTCCATAAGGAGTGTGACATCACTCGTCAGTACAGTGTATATTGTGTCCATAAGGAGTGTGATGTCACTCGTCAGCTAAGTGGCCATGCCTTCTGTTATTGATAGAATAGGTTAAACATGCAGCATAAAAAAAAGGGACATATCTAGTGACAAACAGGGTTTGAACCTATAGTCCACACCGCTAGCACCAGTGGGGGGACTAATTCACAGGTTTATAGGTATGGAAGAATAGACCTGAAAGGTCTGAGTGTGTTACCATGGTGACGGACATGATCCCGCAGCAGCCTCTCTGTGGAATATCTCTTGTTGCAGTGGGAACACTGGTAACACTGGACTGTAAAATACAAATCAGAAAATTCAGTTACATGAAATTGTTAAAAACAAATCACACTACAGAATGAACTGATAAATAATACCAGGCCCATTTGGCCTATATCATTTACTTGTTGTATATTTTTAATCTGAATCTGAACTAGGTATGCAATTGAAATGTTTCTTCTAAATTGAGACCAATTGAGTTTCCAAATCCTTTACCTGGAATTAAGTATCATACAGATTTATCTCCCATTTCCTCTCCTCCATACCCTTGGAGTCCACCATGGCCCCCATTCCTACACCATCTTTATAAACACATTCATTTATTCCAGTAATTCTGAATGTTAATTAAGTCAAAATCTACTTCATTGTTCTAGATTAGTAGTCTTTTGAGAAAAGTAGACAATGGATGAATGAACGATAGCTGTGTTGAAGAAATTAGGACTCCATATGACGTACACCACAGTATAACCTAGCTTGTATGGTGCTTTTAAAGGTCAGACAATCGGTTGAGCAATAAATCAGACAACAGTTACAATGAACTGGAAAATATTAATCAGAAAACAAGCATGCATGGTAATATTGTAAATTGCTTTTACACACTTTTTTTTAATGATTGTTACGGTGCAATAAATCATACAGGTATTCTGTACTCAATGACCTCTGTATTGTACTGAATGACCCCTGCGGCTATCGTAATCTGTGACCTTTTTAAACTGGATGCCCTCGTACTCGGTGTGTTGACGATGTTCGATCAGTATTGACCGTCATATCTCTAGCTGGCTGATAAGGTAAGGGTTAGTCGGGTTAGTCGCACTCAGTAATCACTGACCATCTGGCCACCATCAAACCGGAGGACAACACCTAGGACACAAACAGGCGTAACAACCATCTCCAGTAACACAATACACATATTCTCTCTACATTATTATAATATTCTAATCAATTAATAAATATAAATTAAAACTAGAAAAAGTCTGTAAGACATAAATGCCCGCTCATGAATGGGACGGGACGGACATGGGCAACACTATATGCCCCCCTAACCCCATTTTATGACGGGGGCATACACATACATTTGCCACTTCACCTGCCCTCAACATATTTCAAAGCGCTGGCAGAATCCCCGAACCCTTTATAACGCTAGATAATTTAGTTTTATACCAGAGGGATCCAGAGGGATCACAGTACCCACCATTATACTATCTTCATTAGTTCTATACCAGAGGGATCTAGAGGATCACAGTGCCCACCATTATACTATCTTCATTAGTTCTATGTCAATTTGATCTTTTCTCTTATATGTTTGATAAAATCATGTAAACAGTAACCTTTGTTATAAATTCTGTGCTCAAGCCAGCTCTCACGTAACTCACCTTAATCATGTCAACGATCAAAAAGTCTAATTTAAATACTGAAAACAGTATTCGGCTATAATACTCCTTAATTTTCCCCCAAAACTTTAACAAAATAAGATTTTTAAAATAATTTATAACTGGAACAAGAAATTAGGCTTGAGCACAGAATCCATGCTTGAGCATGAGAACAGTTTCATGAATACGGGCCCCCAGGTGTGTATAATAGACAACCTTCAAAGTGAATTTGTCATTTCAACTTTTTACTAGTACAGGATGTGAAAGAAATAAAACTTATCACAGCAATATGAGAAAGATATGGTAAGTACTTTCTGCGGCCATCTCGTTTTTATGATCACTCTCGAAATAAAACGTGAACAATTTAGAACCAAGGAGAACCTACACGTCAAATTTGAGAAAGATCCCTCCAGTACATCCAGAGAAATAGCGACAACAAAAATTCACTGTCAATAGCCAAGATGGCCGCATGTTGGCCAGTTTGTTTGTCTGATCAGGCTTTAAAGTAATCATGCACAACAAGCGACTCAGTGGAACCTGAAGATCAAATTTCAGAAAAAAACCTCCAGCAATTTCTGAACAATAGCAATAACAAGAAATGCTTAAGGATGGACAATGGACTACAGACCGAGGAGTGATGATGATGGTGGGTTAAAAATAGGTGTGGACAGAGAAGGTGACTGCTCCATGGCAGCTGTATTCTACACATGTAGGCCGGCCCTTATTTGAATATATTTTTATTTCATTTTTACCTTCATCAAGTGTAATATCCTGAGTTTTAGAAATTATTGTAACATACTAAGACAGGTTTCTATGTTATTGTAATATCATAATACTACTCGTAGCCTGTCACTGATATTTTGTGTGGAACCTACAAATATGTATATTGGTAAATTATTCTAAATGATGATTATATTGGTTTAAATTATCTAAGGGAAATCAGTTTAAAATCATTATTTATAATCGGTTTTTAATTGGAAGTAGTAAACCGATCATTGATAAGTTGCATAATTGGTTTATAATTTTTTGGGACTTAATACCAAAATAAAGTGAGAACACTACCATTACATCAATAGACAGAGTTGTTCACTATACACAACTATTACATCAATAGACAGAGAGGTTCACTATACACTACCATTACATCAATAGACAGAGTGGCTCACTATACACTACTGTTCCATCAATAGACAGAGTTGTTCGTTACATCAATAGACCGAGTTGTTCACTATACACAACTATTACATCAATAGACAGAGTTGTTCCCTATACACAACTGTTACGTCAATAGACAGAGTTGTTCCCTATACACAACTGTTACATCAATAGACAGAGTTGTTCACTATACACTTACTGTTACATCAATAGACAGAGTGGTTCACTATACACTATTGTTACATCAATAGACAGAGTGGTTCACTATACACTACTGTTACATCAATAGACAGAGTGGTTCACTATACACCACTGTTACATCAATAGACAGAGTGGTTCACTATACACTACCGTTATATCAATAGAAAGAGTGGTTCACTATATATTAGGTTTCGTTCATTTATAATGAATGGATATCTAGCAACGGTCACGCGTTTTTATCAATCAAAAGGTAAAACTAATAAGAGTATAAGACATTTAAAAACTTGGAATTAAATGATGAACCAATTATATCGATTATAATCAATCATCAGCACATCACTAGTTTAAATTCAGTATATCATTGTATATAAATTCAGTACATCATTGTACATAAATTCAGTACATCAATGTATATAAATTCAGTACATCGTTGTATATAAATTCAGTACATTATTGTACATAAATTCAGTACATCAATGTATATAAATTCAGTACATCGTTGTATATAAATTCAGTACATCATGGTACATAAATTCAGTACATCAAGAGTTGTTCACTATACACAACTGTTATATCAATAGACAGAGTTGTTCATTATACACTACTGTTACATCAACAGACAGAGTTGTTCACTATACACAACTGTTACATCAATAGACAGAGTGGTTCACTATAGACTACCATTACATCAATAGACAGAGTGGTTCACTATACACTACCGTTACATCAATAGAAAGAGTGGTTCACTATATATTAGGTTTCGTTCATTTATAATGAATGGATATCTAGCAACGGTCACGCGTTTTTATCAATCAAAAGGTAAAAATAATAAGAGTATAAGACATTTAAAAACTTGGAATTAAATGATGAACCAATTATATCGATTATAATCAATCATCAGCACATCACTAGTTTAAATTCAGTATATCATTGTATATAAATTCAGTGCATCATTGTATATAAATTCAGCATATCATTGTATATAAATTCAGTGCATCATTGTATATAAATTCAGTGCATCATTGTATATAAATTCAGCATATGATTGTATATAAATTCAGCATATCATTGTACATAAATTCAGTATATCATTGTATATAAATTCAGCATATGATTGTATATAAATTCAGCATATGATTGTATATAAATTCAGTACATCATGGTACATAAATTCAGTACATCAAGAGTTGTTCACTATACACAACTGTTATATCAATAGACAGAGTTGTTCATTATACACTACTGTTACATGAATAGACAGAGTTGTTCACTATACACAACTGTTATATCAATAGACAGAGTTGTTCATTATACACTACTGTTACATCAACAGACAGAGTTGTTCACTATACACAACTGTTACATCAATAGACAGAGTGGTTCACTATACTGTTACATCAATAGACAGAGTGGTTCACTATACTGTTACATCAATAGACAGAGTGATTCACTATACACTACTGTTACATCAACAGACAGAGTTGTTCACTATACACAACTGTTACATCAATAGACAGAGTGGTTCACTATATATTAGGTTTCGTTCATTTATAATGAATGGATATCTAGCAACGGTCACGCGTTTTTATCAATCAAAAGGTAAAAATAATAAGAGTATAAGACATTTAAAAACTTGGAATTAAATGATGAACCAATTATATCGATTATAATCAATCATCAGCACATCACTAGTTTAAATTCAGTATATCATTGTATAAAAATTCAGTACATCATTGTAAATAAATTCAGTATATCATTGTATATAAATTCAGTGCATCATTGTATATAAATTCAGTGCATCATTGTATATAAATTCAGCACATCATTGTATATAAATTCACTACATCATTGTATATAAATTCAGTACATCATTGTACATAAATTCAGTATATCATTATTTATAGATTCAGTATATAATTGTATATGATTTCAGTAAATAATTGATATAAAATTACAAAAAAATAAGTCCCTGAACATAAAATGTACAGTGTACAGAATAAAGCTTTCTACTGATATAACCTGATCAAGGTACTTAACGCTGATAACTAGGGGGTAAACAGGCAGCCTATTTAGTGGTGGAGAATTAACGCTGATAACTAGGGGGTAAACAGGCAGCCTATTTAGTGGTGGAGAATTAACGACAAATCAATCACTTTCCTTACCGGACCTCGTTATCAATAAATACTTGTACAATCCACGATTGGTCTGCTTGCAGTTCTGTTAATACTTTAAATTGATTTATTTTCAATATTCTGTAAGTTTTGATAAGCTCTGTTTGGATGTATTTTTTAAAGTGTTTCATTTATTCCATTATTTCATCAGGACGAATATTTCTTTCATATTGTTATAAAAACACATTAAAACATGAATAAGTGATATAATAACGTTTACCTAATTTATGACCTACTAAAACCAAGTGAATATCCCGCAAACATTCAGGGAACTATTCCACCTCTATAATAGTAATGTCAAGCCAGCCACCAAGCCTGTGAAACATCATATACAGAATGTCAATATATGCTTTATAACACCAGCAAGTGAAACTTCCTCACCATCTAATGTCAATATCAGCTTTATAACACCAGCAAATGAAACTCCCTCACCATCTAATGTCAGTATCAGCTTTATAACACCAGCAAATGTAACTTCCTCACCATCTAATGTCAGTATCAGCTTTATAACACCAGCAAATGTAACTTCCTCACCATCTAATGTCAGTATCAGCTTTATAACACCAGCAAATGTAACTTCCTCACCATCTAATGTCAGTATCAGCTTTATAACACCAGCAAATGTAACTTCCTCACCATCTAATGTCAGTATCAGCTTTATAACACCAGCAAATGTAACTTCCTCACCATCTAATGTCAGTATCAGCTTTATAACACCAGCAAATGTAACTTCCTCACCATCTAATGTCAGTATCAGCTTTATAACACCAGCAAATGTAACTTCCTCACCATCTAATGTCAGTATCAGCTTTATAACACCAGCAAATGTAACTTCCTCAACATCTAATGTCAGTATCAGCTTTATAACACCAGCAAATGAAACTCCCTCACCATCTAATGTCAGTATCAGCTTTATAACACCAGCAAATGAAACTTCCTCAACATCTAATGTCAATATCAGCTTTATAACACCAGCAAATGAAACTTCCTCACCATCTAATGTCAATATCAGCTTTATAACACCAGCAAATGAAACTTCCTCACCATCTAATGTCAATATCAGCTTTATAACACCAGCAAATGAAACTTCCTCACCATCTAATGTCAATATCAGCTTTATAACACCAGCAAATGAAACTTCCTCACCATCTAATGTCAATATCAGCTTTATAACACCAGCAAATGAAACTCCCTCAACATCTAATGTCAGTATCAGCTTTATAACACCAGCAAATGAAACTCCCTCAACATCTAATGTCAGTATCAGCTTTATAACACCAGCAAATGTAACTTCCTCACCATCTAATGTCAATATCAGCTTTATAACACCAGCAAATGAAACTTCCTCAACATCTGATGTCAATATCAGCTTTATAACACCAGCAAATGAAACTCCCTCAACATCTAATGTCAAAGTAAATTCCAATACCGGTACATCATTTTTTGGCTTTCTAATATTTTGAAATTGGATGTTGATGTTTTGATGTTTTAAATGCTAGGTCTGGTCAATGTGTTGGGATTGTTTTACAAAATAAAACATAATACTCTCGATAAAAACCTGATAAGATTTATTTTATACAGTTTATGTGAAAGGCAGCCTATGTTCAGCAGGACTGACGGGGGCTCTGACTTGTGGGTGCAGCAGTACTAATCTGCTCCAACCTTGTTGATTGCCCTCTGACCTTTGACCTTGTTGCGTACAGTGCATATAGGTATATATATGTACACACTGAGCGTGTCTATCGCTATATTTGGCTAGACAACCACCACCGGACCCACACACCTATGACCTGGCCGTCAATATCAAGTGTCTCATGGAAGAGGAGAGTTACATCACCGCAGAATCATCGCCTATAAATAATCAAATCTTGTACATCCTTTAAGTGATATAAAAGTGGCGGGTTTAAATGTGTGACAGTGCATTATTTTACACCGCTCATATGCATCTGTGGTATCTTCACGGCTGCTGGGCTGGACCTTGATGACAAGGATTGAAGCCATCAGCAAGAAATATATGATTTTTTTTTTTTAACTAATCAGGATTTATGAATAATATTTCGTGATTAAAAACAATAGCTGAAAAGATATACAAAAGCAATCAAAAAATCATGTGATAGCAATGCAAGGATGGACAAATTCTAATTGACATTTTGTGAAGGAAAAATAAATGTAATTCAGCAATCATTTCAAAAACAATCTGAAAAAGGATTTTTTCCTCTGCAGTTTTTATCTCCAGGTATGTGTTTTCTTCAGCTTTTAACCAGATGTTATTAAATTGTCAGCTTACCCTTCCATAAAACTGTTGCAAATTTAATCAGTATCATGTGTTAGGTTTTCATTGATTACATAGATTTTCCTATCACCATGAGTCCATTTGGATTAAAAAACTTTGCTGTCAATCGCTCAACTCGTGAGAATTGGATAATACACATATTATAATGGGATTTTCTTAAAACCTGCTGTAAAAAATAAATTTCTTTGAATTGGCATTTTTAAAATTTAGAAATTGGAATGTTTGCTTTACTCAGTAGCACAAAAGGTTCCCGTTTTTTACCCTGAGAAGTCCAAGAAAAACATGTTTTAAGTTCATCAGTTAAAATTTCTAAGAGTAATTACTTGAGTGACAAGCTCCTCATTTCCTGTTGATGTCATACACATGGGGGCTACAGATTTACTCTAGTCACGCCCACGGAATGATGATTGTGGCACAATTATTTTGCTGACATCCTAATAATGTTTCAAGTGTTCAATGGGTCAAGCACATGATCATGACTCACAAATTAATAAATTATTCTAAATAAAAAAACCTCTCATAAACCTTTTTTTAATTTTACAAACATTCTTGATTTTACAGAAATCAATGTACTGTTATATAAAGGCTGACTTGGATACAGCGGTAAAGGTTGTGGGACTTAAGGCCAGTGTTGGAACAGGTGTCCCAAACTCTACAGAGATTACAACAAAAACACTGGCAGCTTGTTGGACATTAGAGACCATTATAAACATTCCAGTTAATACTGAACAGATAAGCAAACTTAGCAGCTAGTTAAAAGGCTTCAGGTGAGACTCCAGACTGAAAATCTGTACGGCTTCTTAAATCAGCACCAGATTTTATTCTTATTTGCATCAAAAGGACTTTCTGGTATTTCAGACACAGTGCTCTCATTTGTCCACCATGTATGGCCTACTGACAATGTTATATACTGTTCTATTTGTGAACCGAGAATCAGAAAGAACAAAAATAGTTGCCACGGAAACCAGTGACATTGCTTCAAGCGAGAGCATCAACGTTATCATCTATGGCGTGTTTGGACTATACACAGTGATCCAGATCGTTCTGGGAAATATCAGTTTGACCAGTAAAGCTGTAGTCATAATGACCTTGAACTGCACCTTCTTACAAATATTGACCTTTTACCTACGACCCGACCTCTGGGGGAGCCTGCTACTCCTAGGATACCTCATGGTGGCAGTGAAATGGTTACCAAGGAGGAAACTGTCTCCGACGAAAAAGGCAGTTCTCATTACTGGTAAGTCTTACAGAGAAGAAGCGAGATTCTGTTTGGGGGAGGGGGAGGGGTAGGGGCAGGGGAATAGGGAAAGAGATGTGGGAGGAGTTAAAAGGAAGAGTGGTAGAAAGGACAGAAAGAACATTGAAAGTGGAGAGAGAGACACACACAGAGAGACAGAGACAGAGACGAAGGAAGGAAGGAAGGCTGAGTAAGGAATGGGGTTAGGAACATGGAATAGGAAATGGAAACAGAAATGGGAATTGAAAATCTAACAGTGACAAACAGGATAACTTTTAAGGAGCATCATGACTACATCTAGTTTCAATCTCAAGTCTGACTTAAATATTTCAATTAAAATGTAATGTTGGTTTACTTTATGGTGGTGTGGAAATGGACGCATTTTTCAAGATGAGTAAATTAATGTGAAAATATACACATGCTTCTTAATATATAAATAGTAAGTGATTTATAAAGATTTCAGAATCATTGCAAATGTAAAACTTTTTACATTACAATCACTTTAAAGTGTTTCAACGCAGACATTTCTATGTGCGATAATCTTTTAAATTTTACAGTATATATTTTGTATGGTATGTAAACATGAGAAAGGTGACCCTCACATACTATAGCCGACTAACAATCACAATAAGTCACAATCACACAGCTATCACCAACTGACCGACAAACACAGATAAACATATATATATACACTTATGTGTTGACTTAGTTCTAATCTCAAGGAGCTGGCAAAGTGCTCAAACTGAAAATCAGAAAATTACAATAAACATTCATTTTATTATTTAAACTAATGCAACTAATTTGTTGTGATATAAAATTTAAACTCATATATATATATTTAATTGTAATTCAAAAACGAAACAATAGACCCAAAGGACCTGTATTAAAGTTTACTTTAACAATATTTGCAAAATTTATATAACACTGAAATGATTATAATGGGCATCAGCCAGTCAAGATACCATGGCAGATATATTGGATTTGAACATTGATTGCGAACAAATTGTAAAGAAGGTATTTGAATATTTCAATAAGTTTTATCTCAGTAACTTGAAAGTTAGTTTTGGACAGATTTTAAAGATAATCAACCTAGTAAATTAACTTAATTTAGAACTAATTTGAAAATTTAAATAACTCAATTAAACCCAGCAATTAACCTATATATATAAAAAAATAAAAAAAATAAAAACACTTGACCAAGTTTTTTTTAGCATAATTAAAAGTTCGAAACATTATGGTTCTTCTTTGAACCAGGTAAATATCATCATTTTAATCATTAAGGTCTTTGAGGAGAAATTATTCAAAGCATATATTCATTTGACCTGTGATCTGAAATATGGGTCAAACTCATTAATCTGAACAAACTTGATAACCTTACACATCACATGATGTCAGCCAGCTACATGCCAGTCAATCCTCTACAGTCAATGACATTGGCTGTGTATACTTTGATTATGTTTAGTGTACAATCCTATACCGACAGTGAGAATCATACATTCATCATATCACCTTCAGGGTGATAGCCTCTTTTGTTGACCTCAATTCTTGAGCAATTGTATGAAGCAAAGCAGAAAGGCTGACAAAAGTGCTATCCCCTTTAATATTATGTGACAAGTGTATAATAATTGTTTTATTGAATTGATGTCCTCAAAGTATTTAAAAAGTAACTTGTGGATTTTTTTTTAATAATAATGAAAAAAGAAAAACAGTTTTATACAAAACAAAATATTTTAAGACAAAATAATAATTGACTAATGTGATTTTTTCCCCAGAAAGTAACATACAGCAGAATTTTTTAATAATCTGACAGATGACTGAGATTTGATAAAACGTTTAAACGTTACAGGTTGTGATCGGGGTATTGGCTTCAGTTTGGCTAAACACCTCGACAGTCAAGGTTTCCATGTTTTTGCCAGTTTCCTCAACAACCAAAGCGTGGAACAAGACCAACTTGTAAAAACTTGTTCCAACCGTCTACACACTATACAGATGGATGTGAGCAATGTACAGCAGGTGGAACAAGCAGCAACTCACGTCACAGCAGAGGTCAGGGATCAAGGTAAGTCATTTATAACAGAGGTCAGGGGTCAAGGTAAGTCACTTATAACTGAGGTCAGGTGTACCCGTCAAAATCATAACAGAATCTGAAATTACAAAGGTCAGGGGTCAAGGTAAGTAATTTATAAGAGGTCAGGGGTCAAAGTAAGTGATAACAGAATCTCAAATTACAGAGGTCAGGGGTCAAGTTAAGTCATAACAATCTCAAATTACAGAAGTCAGGGGTCAATGTAAGTCATAATAGAATCTCAAACTAGAGGTCAGGGGCCAAGGTAAGTCATAACAGAATCTCAAATTAGAGGTCAGAGGTCAAGATAAGTCATACATGATAGAATCTCACATACCAGTGGTCAGGACTCATGATGATTCATGCATTAAGTAGCAACTCTCATAACAACATAGGTCAGAAGTCAAGGGAAGTCCGCATAGCAACAATTCACATAACAACCGAAGTCTAGGGTCAAAAGTAAGTCATGCATTATAGAAACTTATAAAACAGGGGTCAGGTTTCAAGGTAAGTGATGCTTAAAAGCAACTTGCATGTCAACAGATATCAGGGTCAATTTCATTCATGCATGCCAATGTAGTATATACCTTTGTATCTATCCTCCTATTCTTGTTGCAGGGTATGTATGATTAATAAGAATAATATTTATTATGTATTTACTGATTTTTTTTCAGGATTGGAATTCTGGGGCATCGTCAACAATGCAGGGATCTGTTTTATCGGCAATGTTGAGATAATGGCCAGAGAGGATATGTACAAGGTCATGGCTATCAATTATTTCGGTCCTGTGAATGTTTGTAAGGCATTTCTCCCACTACTGCGACAGTACCGGGGCCGAATTGTAAACGTTGCAAGTAATGCAGGTAGGTTGCCGTGATTACACAGCAAGATAAGTCAGGGTAATTAAAGCTTATAAATACATGTTTATCTAGCAAAAAGGATCAGTTCATTCAACCTGTCTGACAACTTTTGCGTCCACTGTTATCACACGGTCACTATCACTGAAGTGCTTAGTAAATATATGTGTAACTATAAATAACTAGCTTTAGTCTAGATCTTATCTTACACAAGGACAACAACACAAATATTTTTATATTTAAACAAGTACACATTAAGTACAGTAATTACACGTTATAGCGTTATGTTGATACCAAAGGGAGATAACCATGAATTTAGTTAATGTGAAAAATTACTATGGGACATCTGAAGAAGATATACTGGGGTTATATATTGTAATTTTTCATTAATTGCCAATGTAACTGGTGTAAAAAACACAGCTGGTACGATGATAAAAATTAAAGCTTTGTCAAATTGATCTTTTGCATATTCATATAAACCAGTTATCCCTGAGGAGATCTTAGCTAGAGCCCACCATTAAAATATCATAAAACCCACCATTAAGATATCATAAAATCCACCATTAAGATATCATAAAACCCACCATTAAAATATCATAAAACCCACCATTAAAATATCATAAACCCACCATTAAAATATCTGAAAATGTCGCTGGTATATAGTTCCTTCTCTTTCCTTTGTTCGTTCCTAAATAATAGTACCCCGTAACCAGAGAGTTTATGTACATGAAGTTGCATTATGATCTTTGAGGGGTGTGCTATTTGCTAAATTTCCCAATTCCAATAGAGTACAAATACGGACTAAGTGTAGCATGCAGACCAGTAGTTTGATCATGTTCCCTGTATATACCCTTTTCTGAGAAATAGCAGCCAAATATTTACATTATGATGTCGACATAAAACCCAAGATGGTCTGGTGACTACCTTTTTTCCTGATTCAGTTGAAATAGAAACAGGAACTAAAGAGGATTTAAGGGAAAATGTATACTCTCTTTTATGCAAAATTTAAAATGGCTGCCTGATGGCCATTTTGCTTTTCAAATCCATTTTCAATTGGAGCTTGGACCAAGGGGATAATGGATATCATGTTTTGTTACAATATTTGAAGCAGTTAACAAACTTCACATGTGAAATATTAGATGGCTGCCTGGTGGTAATAATGCTCTTCTGATCCATCACAATGGAGCAAGTACTTAATGCAAATAACATAATCAATCTGAACCACCCACTATATGATGTAGGTTATCCATCAATAGACCAGGGCAATAATGCAAATTATGAAAATCAAACACTATCTGAGGAAGGTGTATTAAAGATACATTTGTTGACAAAAGGACATGGCTGACAAGAATATACATGTATTATTTCAGGTTTGGTTCCCGTGCCCCTCATGGGCGTGTACTGTGCCTCCAAGGCTGCACTGGCCTCTATGTCGGAAGTGTGGAGGTTTGAGCTACAACGCTGGGGTATCAAGGTCGCCACCATTATACCTAGTGGCTACAAGACTGGCATTATGGCTTACGACAAAGCGGCCATGGCTGAAAGATGGTGGTCGAAGGCCAGCGATACTGTCCAGAGAGACTACGGCAGGGAATGCTTCAACATCAAATTTAAGCAGAAAAGTAAGTTATTTGGGAAAAATGAGTAAGTAAATGCATAGGAAAGGAGTAAAATTGAAGTTTTACTCATTCACCCCTGAAGTTTCATAATGAATTATTCCAACCATTGAATTGGAAGAGTTTAAATGCGTGTTTAGGGGTGAATGAGTTAATTTATTATCTGTCAGTTCTATATACATCACAGCTTTTTTATCCACTATTTTTAGATTTGGGCCTGTGGCTTTTGAATTGGGGAAATGGTACCACTGTTAACCAAATTGGGAAGGAAGTTTAAAAATTATAACTTAACTCATTCACCCCTGAAATTTTATCATGAACTATTCCAAACATTGAATTGGAAGAGTTCATGATAAAATTTCAGGGGTGAATGAGTGAAACCAAATATTGATTTCCAACAAAAAGTTATCACATAAAAATCAGTAAAGCACATGTCTCTTTCTTTGCTTTTTAAATTTTGACATCAACTATCAATTTCAGATTCTGAAAAGATGCTGAGTGCCAATTTCTCTGAGATCCAGAACAACATTTCCGACGCCCTTTTATCTGTGTTTCCCAAGTCGTACTACTACAACGGATTCCTGGCGCGGTCGTTACCATTCTTGTACCTACATCTCCCGACATTCATCGGCGACCCAATTATGTCTATCCTCACTGATTGGTTCGACTTTCAACCAAACTCTGTGATATAATATGCTCCATGCTCACCAACAGGTTTGACATTCACACTTTGTGCCAGGTAAAACTATCCTGTATACCAACTGGTTTGACATTCACACTTTGTGCCAGGTAAAACTATCCTGTATACCAACTGGTTTGACATTCACACTTTGTGCCAGGTAAAAC